CGGCGCGTGCCGCCTGCGTCATGCCAGCTGTCTGCCGCGGCTTCTCTGCCAACCTGCCGTGCTTCTTCTCTGCAGCGCATCCTGGGCGGCCGGCGTGGAGCAGCCGCAGAAAAAACAACAGGTGCGCCTTCTGCAATGATGCCTGGATGGCTGAGACTTGCCTCACCGTCGGTGGGCGTCGCAACATCACGCGGTCCTTGAAAGCTTTTCGGGCAGTGTACGAAGAGCACCCTCACATCTACAACGCGGCCATGATGCGGGTCCCGGACGAGTGGCGCGAGACCTTCCACGCAGCGTCGTTGGAAGAGCGGCGCCGGCCAGCCAACAAGCCTCGCGGTGTTCCTGCGAGTTCTCAGGCCACTGCAGTAAAGGAGGAATGGCAGCAACTTCTCACCAACCGCAGGCGCGCCTTCAAGAAGCTCGGCAGCAAGGAGGTCACGGCCTACAAGAAGCGCCGCACTGCGGACCGCAGCCGGGTTGTCAAGAAGTTTTTTCTGGACAACGACCTCCCGGTGCCCGAGGAGCCCACGGATGTCGCCCCCAACGCCCCGGTAACCCGCGGATTGTCATGTAACTCGGTCGCGACAGATGCCGGGCAGGACTGTGCCGAAACTTCCTGCCAACTGGCTGTCACCGCATTTTGGAGAAACTGGTGCTACATACCGTGAGCAGCTATACACAGGGCAGGACTGTGCTCCAAACCTGCCAGCTACGCATGCAACTCGAGCACTCACCGAAACGCTGAACTGCGCTATCAGCCGCCCTTGCGGATGAGCACGACCTCCGTGCACAGGGCCGAGGGCGTCGACTCTGCCGAGATACCGACACACTTCCCGTCGAGGAGCGCCTTCACCTCCCAGTTCTGGAACTCTGGATCTCGAAGAATTTTTCCAGGAGATCTGCGCAGTAGCCACCTTCACGATGCCCTGTGAAGGGCCGCCTCTGCGCAGCGCACCACAAGCGCCTGCTGTGAAAACATCCGGCCGCGGAGCCCTACTCCGCACCTCCCAGAACATGTGGGCGCATGGTCTCGAGCGCAACCCAGCCGCCGTATTCAGGAAGGGTTCTTGCACGGTTGTACGCGGGTTCTTGCATGCACACGATGCAGCAACATGTTGCCCACCAGTGGTGGCCTAAGCGCGGCGTCCAAAGCAGCGTGAATTTCACAGTCAGCAACTAGGCGTTCAACAATCAACGCAGGAGGGGCAACCAGTGACCCACCAGGCAATGAATCCCTTGCCCTTCAGTGAGCGAGATGATGTTGGGACTTACGCATGATTGGTTGGGGACAGGGGGGATTGCCCTGCGTGATTGAAGTATTCGTCAACCCCTATAATGCTGATAACCATTAAGGCTCCGCAGATGTGAACTCAATGAGGCATGCCTCGTGACTTCTACTCGGAAGTCACACTGGTTCCCTGACTTGCAAAGTAGAAAATAGGGCGACGAGGATAGTTTTCGCAGGAACCAATTGGCAGTAGCATCCTTGCTACTGATGCAGCTGCTGATACTGCTCATGCTACGGGTACTGATGCCGCTATTGCTGCAACTGCGATGCTCTGGCTACTGCTGCTGCAACTACTGGCTCCTGCTATTAGAATTAGCCGCAACAACAGCAGGACGAAAGGTGTAAGCACAAATAACACGTCGCCCCCTGCAAACTGAAAAAATGACTTCTGCCACCAAGCGCTTCAGTATGATTTGTTACAGGGCCTACATAATTATCAATAACATTTTGAACTCCCTTTGAGGTACCATATAGTATAATTATCATGACCATGAGGTCCTGTTACAAGACAAGAAGGGAGGTTCCAGTAATTATCCCGAATTGCCACCTGCAAAATTAAGGTCCCATTTTTCTACCACCAAATAGCAGATGCCGTACTATAAACCATAACCAACAGGGGCCCATAGTTTTGAGAACAACCCATATATCTACCTCTACACAACTGTAACCCCTCAGACCTAGAACAAGCATGATATCTTTCAATAGTTCCTTGAGGTTATACCACAATAAGAATGTGAAAGTAATTCCCTCAGGGATAGGAAGCAAGGGTGCCTGATTTTCGGGAATGTTGGGAAACACTCATATAAGATATGGTCTAAACTCCTAGTATCCGGTTAACACGCCCTATAATCGTCCCTTATATAATCCCTGTATAAGCTCTTTTTAAAAGGTTTAGGTTATAGCTCATGTCTCGTGCTGGGGCCTACTTGATTACCAATATCATGTGAAATCTATTTTAAGTCCCCTATACCAGAATGATACAAGGAATCTAGCACTGCAACATAAGTAAATATTTAGGCGCCTACAGTACTTTGGCCTGGCAGGGGTGGGGGCTTTTTGCATTTTGGCGCCAAAGCGCAGCTTGTGCTGCTAAAAGTCAGCGTCCACCATCGTCCCCCGCCCAAATGGAAGCCGATGCGCTCGGAACACAAACAGGCATGTTTCTGCCAAGCCGGTTGTTTCAAGTCGGTGCAATCCCAGCCCACCATGGCATGTATTGATTGGAAGTGTTCGATGGCATGGCAGTCTCATCAATGCACATTTGTTTTTGGCAGGTTTTTGGCGGCGAGGAGCTTTGCATGCGCCATGTTGGTGGCACGTGGGGGCCCGCGTCAGGCCGGCATTCGCCAAGCTTCGAGGCTTCCGATGCCCAGGGACGATTGAGCATCTGCAGGTCGAACAGATCCGCCTTGTGTAAAACCAAGACACTGGTTTGTGTGGATGTTTGTTTTGCTATAAGTTTCATGTGTTGACGGCTGCAGGATGTTGAGCTGATTCCATCCGAGATGCTGCATCCACCGCATCAGCGCGGAGCCGCCGCTTGTCCAAGATATTTGTTGCATTGGTTGTAGCTGCATTGGCTTCAGAGAAAAGATTGTTAACCCGGCAAGTTGTCGATCAGCCTGCAGCACGCAAGGATGTTTTGCCCCGGTTCCCCGTCCAGGATTTGTGCTTGGGTGCCTCGATGATGCTTGACGGCAAGGTTTTGGCGGCTTTCCGCCGGTTTTGGTTTGTGCAGCAGGCATGCCAATAGACACGGCAACAGACACCGCCAGGAAGGGATTCATTTCCGCGTTCAACGACGCAGGTGCGCGGTTTTGATGTGCTTGAGCAAAGCCGCTCCCAGAAACCCCCCTCCCGACTTCACTCTTTTATGATCCTTTATGAATCCCTTCCACTCATACTTTGCATCCCCATGTATTACTTGGGGAATGTTTTCAGTGGTTCTGCGGATGTCTATGATGAGTTGTGGATCTTACCTTCATTAAGGGAGCTGGACATAGTTTTTGGGAAGGTCCCCACCGATCCTAAACCCCAAACCCTTCACCCTAAACGGTACTAGGGAGTCGGATTACTGAATGCAGGAGATTTAGTTGCCATCGACGTCGGCGCCGAGGTTGAAGGTGGCATGGTCATTTTGGATTTTTTTGGTTAAGTTTAAGATTTGGCGTCCCCAATGGTTGGAAGGAAAGGTATTACCTCGATGGTTTAGGGGAATTATTTTCCCCAGTTGATTGGTGTGGCGTTGTCTTGAACCGTGTGAGAGTATGCTGCATGAAAGTTTTGCTCAAAGGCGGCCCTCTCAATGACCCAGGTTTTGCCCACGTGTCCGTTTTGGCTGATGAGTTCGTCGATAACCCTCGCGAACTTTTTGAAATTGGCGAGGAGGCTGTGAACTCACGGGCCTCAAGGGTCGATAGCCGTTTGTGCTGCAGGCTGAATTTCTTGAAGCATCATCGGGATGGGTCTTTGTCATGGAATGTCTGTTGCTGGCATTTACGTAGTTCGTGTCCAGGCACGAGATGACATGTCCACAGCTGTTCAACTAAATCTCGCATGGCTTGAAATGCAGCATCATGTCTCACATTGCCGTCGACCATCTCCAGCTCCTGAGAACCAGCGTAGCAAGGAATCATCCCGCCATTCGAAGCTCTCACATCATGCAGGTGGAGGCGGTTGTGACCAACATCGAGTGTTCAGGTAGCTCGGCTACCGAATTGTAATTTTGGCATGCGTTCCAACAGGCGGCCTGCCCGCCTCGACCACATTGCTTTTGTGTTGCTTTATGCCTTGAATCATGCGACGCCGGCTTTCCCTTCACCTTTCCAACGTGCCCGAGCGCCTTACCGTGCAATATGTGAAGTTCTTCGACTCCAGCTGCAATCGTTTTTAGATTTTTTAGCTACAGTATTTGAGGATCCAAGTTATATCTAGGTAACATCCTATAGCTGTTTGTGTTTACTCTTAATGATAGCCCTGATGTTTCGTAATATGCCCACCCCTTCATACGCAGTGTGCAGCCTAGGGGGTTTATTGGTGGTAATTGCGGACAGGAGGAATGGATCCCTGCAGAAGTCCCGCTTGAATGCCGCCTTAGACTTCCGGGTTTAGGGTTAACCATCCCTGTAATTCCTTCATCCCCTACTAGCCACCCGCGTTTTGCCTAAAGCCCGGAATCCCAAACGTGACATTTATTTCGCAGCTTATAACTTGCCGTTCCCGCATTCGCTGTCCATCGGGAACAGGGCAACCCTAAACCTCACACCCGATGTATTTCCCATGAACACCCAACTTCCAGATAATTTTCCGTGTGCCTTTGCCTCACCAACCCGCCATTCCTTGCGAATCACCAGTGAGGCACTGAGGGCAAGCCGCTTCACAGAGTGGTTCCCCGCCCGTCAGCCGAAACGAAGACACTGGCCGGCGATTTTAGCGGCCTTGAGGTTCAAGGCTAGTTATAAGGTGATTACGGAGGCAGTATAGGGGATGCAGGAATTGTGGAGGTTATGACGGGCCAACGGTTAGGTAGAAGGGGTCATACAGAATATGTGCGGATATTGGGGACATAGGAGTTAGAAAAACGGGTGCAGGGTTTCAAAGGTTCATGCATCTTTCATGGGTGACGAGACCTGGGGTTATAAGGAGAATTGTCAAGACCCTGTTTGGGGGACTTTTGAAGTTGAAACCCCAAGTATAGTCGGCCATGAACCTGCAAGCAAATCAATGAGCAAACTGAGCTGAGTTTCCCACGTTGTTGCCGTGGTATTGGCAACAGTACTCGAAACAGCACCAGAAGCAGTAGTAGCAGTAGCAGCAGCAACAGCAGCAATAGCAGCAGTAACCGGAGCAGCAGTAGCAGGGGCAGCAGCAGCCGGCAGCAGCGGCGTGGTGGTGGCAGTATTATGTAGTGCTAGCAGAAGCAGAGATAGCAGCAGCAGGGATAGCAATGGCAATGGCATTGGGAATAGAAATAGCGCTGCAAGTAGATATCATGATTGGCAGTAGTAACAAGCTTGAACAAGTAGTGCTGGAACCTTAAACCATCTTAAACCCTAACCCTAAGCCTAAACCCCATTTTCCGGAATTGTTACCTTGCGCTGCTGTATAGTCATGCAAGCGGCAAACCCTAAAACAGCATGCTGGGGCCCAAGGTCACAGTTCAGCGTGGCTTTGGCGCGTTCCAGGGCAAGACTTCGGCCACGACCTCCCGACGATGCGGAGGAGCAGGTTGAAGCGGCAGGGCTTGAACTGACTCTTCCCCTCCCCCTAATATGAACCCCTAATATGAACCCCTAATATGAAATACTTTCAATAGATTTTTTATATACCACATAATGGGGGTATTTAATGTTAGGGGGGGTGGGGGGTTTAATGTTAGGGGAGGGGATTTCCTTGGTTCTACAGGGGCATACAGGGCTATGTAGGGCGGGTTTTATGCGGGCGCGTAGATGTTTAGGATATGTACACGTATGTGTATGTACATAGACACATTTTTCCACAGGTAGGGAGAATTGGGATAAGGCGTTTAGGACGTAGGGTTGGGCTTATAGCTTAGGATTTGGGATGTATGGTTGAGGGTTTGAGCTTCAGAAATTAGGGTAAAGGGGTCCAGGTCGATCCGCAAGTGCCCCTAAGCTGAGAAGGCATGAGAAGACCCTCTAACAACCCTCGGCTTCCTGGAGTGCTGAAGGGGATCCCTCCTATAGAGTTTCTTGGGGAAGGTCTGTTTAATTTGGGGGCCTTGAATCTGCCCTGGTACAAGACACCCCTTCCCTAATTACCAAACAAATTGATAGCATGTTACAGGACCATAATTGGGAGGATTTCATACCTGGGAGTGGGAAAATTGCTTTGCCGATCTGGGTCCCGATTATAATGCTCCCCAGTGCAAAAGAGGGACCCTCATGTTGTCAATCCTCCCGTCGGCTTAAGGGGAGGTCATCATCGGGCACGAAGCCTCGCAGGTGTATTGTAGAAGCCTAAGTAATTAGCAATGTCATTTCCGTACAATCCTTAGGTAAGTATGATACAATATGCATACCCCAAACCCCATTCAAAATACGTAGGCCCTGACGTTAGATGCACCAGCGCTTCCGCGCTGATTTCTGTAACTGATAGTAGGGAGCGCTCGCCATTGCAACAGCAAGACCTTGAAAGAGTGGCAGGAAGCCTCGCTCCAAAAAGGAAGTAGGACCCCATCAGCTGCACTTTTCAAAGCTCCAGGCATGAAACTCTGTACGCAGTTTAGGGTTCATAGTAAAACAACTCTATACTTCAAACACTTTTTAGAAGCTTGACACTTGTGGTCGAGGTTGGGAAGTCCTATGAAGGTATCGTCAGTCACGTGCGCGATGATGGGTTCCATGTCGTTCTTGGCGATGGGCGAGCTGGCTATGGCAATGAAGGCCGAGCCTGAAAAGTTAAGTAGGGAACAAAGGATTGGAGCATAAGATGGAAATTCGTACATTAAAAAGTATTTAGGGTTTGGCTTACGGTTTTGGGAGGGAATGGAGGAATGGACCCGTACTGTAATTCCGATGGACCCCCACAGTAAAATAACTGTCAAATAGTCATGTGAGGATTTCCTTAAAAGCCTTAAATTCATTACAATACGGGTCCCTAAACTGGGTTCCCATTTTTTGAATGCAAGTCTCTGAATAATTTTCTCCCTTCTTGGGAAGAGAATTTAAGCAAAACCTTTAACCCCACTTGGAGGATCAGACGGAGTCAGTAAGTAGGTTCATAACACCCGCAACGCATATAGTAACCTTAATTTATCCCCATTATGCATACTTACTAACTCCCCTAAAATCAAGACCCTGAATAATACATCGGTTTCCATTTTCTTTTCCATTTTTACTAAGTCCCCCCAAACCTAAACCCTAACGCCTAGCCTACTTACTAAGTCCCCCTGACCCTCTAAGTAGACCATGAAGCCATGGTGGCTTTGGAGCCATCCTGTCCCGTTTGGCTGACAGTGAGCTATGGTCTAAACTCCTTATAGGAGGCTATAATAGGGGAGTAAATAGGGTTTAGGGTTTAAGCTCCTTGAAGATGTTATATAGGGCAGCTTATAGAGGAGTATTGTAGGGCTTATTGAGGGGGATGCTGGGAGTTTAGATTAAGACCATGTGTAACTTACGCGGACGTTGAAACAGTTATCGTACCTGCCAGGCAACGCGCCTGCCGCAAACCCTAAACCTTTTAAGACCCCCGGACCCCTAAACCCTAAATGCTAAACCCTAATCCCTAAACCTTAAGCCCTAAGCCCTAAACCCCAAGCCCCAAACCCCAAGCCCTAAACCCTAAACGCAGGTACAAAAGTCCGAAGGGTTGTAAACAAAAAGCTTAAACGTTAAACCCTAAGCCTAAACCCTAAACCCTAAACATGCCCGCTCAGGCTTCCTCCACTTGTCCAAAATGCCTGGTTATCACGCATCAGCTTACAAGGCTCAGTTGTTCGGCGCTTAGGGTTTAGGGTTGAGGTTTTAGGGCCTAGTGTTTTTTTGGTTTAGGGTGGCTGTCGTCCCCAAACCCTAAACCCTAAACCGCGCTCAATTTCTGGTTGTTGTTGATGGCAGCTATGTGGGGTTTCCAGGAACAGAGAGCCCGAAGGATGGACCCCGCAAATGCTTGAATCCTTTTTTTTACCCTGTTTAGGGTTTAGGGTTTAGGGTCTAGCCGGCATGGCCCTCAGTCCGTGCTCAAAAGGGTCTAGGTTTATAATAGAGGCTCCCAAACAAGGGCCTCTAATTTTTTAGAATCCCCCTTTGTCAGCCCCTTACCTGCTGGGAGGTCGCCAAAGTTTGCGACAAAGTCAAGGTGAAGGTACTTCACGTGGATCACGGGTCTCGTGGACCGATTTATGGGTCATTCTTGAACAAGTATTTTGTTTGGAGTCCGCAATGCAGAGTAAAGATTAACAGTTATGCTCCTTTTGGGTGCAGCATTTTGTGCAAACGCTTCTCTAATACGTTTGATCTTCTATCAGTCAAAAGCCCATTATCGAATGTAAAATTGCAATGCCTAACATTTGAGGAGCCAGCATTGCTACTTTCTCAAGTACCAGGATTCAAAGTCAATAGCCCTAGGGCCCTAGCAAAGCGGAGCATCAGGATTATGGGGTCATGGATTCACACGGGAGAGGGTCCTGGGCTAAGATTCGTAAGGAGGCTTGTGCCACTGATGTTGCAATACGGCATTCAATAAGCCGCGTCTGCTTTCGCCAATTTCAGTTTATGTTAGCATAGAGGAAGCATAAGCTACTTGGAGGGTCAGGGGGGCTTAGTAAGTGGCTTAATAACCCATATAACCCATACAGTAACCCTAATTATCCCCATTATTAACCTACTTACTAAGTCCCCCTGACCCTCCAAGTAGGAGGTGCCCAATAGCATAAGTGCAGGATAAAATCACATCCACTGCAGGACCTCGCATAGAACTTTCCTGGGACAAGCCGGCGGCAACACTCCGCCCAGCAAGAAAGCCTGGCGCCCTACAGTCGCTAGGGAGGCGCGTCCACGAACTGATTATGATTCGAAAAGGTACGTAACATATGGGCCTTCCCAAAATCAGGGGTTCCCAGAACAAGGATTGTCATGCTTTGGGATTTATGTTTGCGTCCCCTAAGTGCTGGAAATTCTCATCTGCACATTTGGAAGACGCAGGGAATGGTGCATGGTCAGCCGAGCTTGCTGGTGTTACCTGTCTGGTGAGAGCAGCAAGTTGCTCTGCGTCACCTGTTTCATGAAGCTGCACGGCCTTCATGCGTTCACTGTTCGACTTTTCGCGGCGTGGGCGCGGCCGTGACGTGACTGTTGTCAACGCTGCAGACGCATTGTTGTGACATGTTGTCCATCAACTGTCCTTGGCCGCGTTTGCTGTCGTTACTACGATTATTGCAACTATTTTTCTTAGACGCAGTGGCATGTAAAACGCTATTCAAAACGGTTGTGACCTCTGTTCCATGTAGATCTTGTTTCAATCCCCGCGGTCACGCATGTCAGTTTTGTGGCAGTTTCTGTTTGAGAGTGCGCCAAGATCAGCAGCAAGCCATTCCCAATTCAGAAGTTCAAAGAAATTGGCGTGAAGCACGACAACTCTTACCTTTGAACCCCCGCCCCACTTGGCCTTCCACAAGCCACAGCAGGGGAGAGTGGTTGAAGGGCACTGTCTACAACATCAAGAAGTTTGGCATCTTTGTTGAGGCTGGCACACTTTCATTTTTCAGAGGTTGTATCGGGGTTACATAGTGATCCCCAAGGGAGTATATAGGGGTGATATAGAGATTATTACTTACAACCCCTATAAGGGAGAATCAAATGGAAAAGAAATGGGAAAGAAGAGGAACATGACATGGAAAGTGAGATTTGTAGGTCTAACCCCATGACAGCTCTAAGTAATTAGGGCTATAGCCACCCTGAAGTGGACAGAATATGGGGCATATTGGATCTTATTCTAATATACCCAAAGCCATATTCTATCGACTTGAGAGAAACTATACATGTAGAGCCTACGTCTTAAGCAGGGCATTTGTTAGGATCCCTAAGCCCTAAACTGAGTGGGGCCGTCGAGCAGGGCGAACGCACCAAAGCCGGCAGGCGAGGCAGCTCTGGAGCCCAAAGCCCTCCGGCGGCAGCTGCGGGCTGCGCGATAGGTCTGGCAGGCGAGTAACCCCGAAAGCGTCGGGGGCTTTCCAGGGCCTTGGCCTCGTCAAAGCCTCCAGACCTCCAGACTTCCAGGGCCTGCCCAGCCCTTCAGGATCTCAGGCAGGTTTCTGGGCAGTTGGTAAAAACTAGAGGTTTCGAGCCAGACCAAACCCAAACCTTGCACCTGCCTGCCTGGTCCAGACAGCTCCATTTGCTCAGGATTGGAGGCATCCATCCAAGGCTCCATCTGAAGAAAACTGGAGACCTCGAGCCAGACCCAAATCCAAACCTTGCACCCGTCTCGTCTTAACAAGTCCACCTGGTTCAAAGTCGAAAGCCTCCAGAATCTCAATAAACACAAGACGCCTCGAGCCAGACCCAGCCCAAACCTTGCACCCGCCTGGTCTAGCCAGGTGCACAAAACAAATAAGACAGGAGCGCGATCAGAGTTCCAGAGAACCCGAAACGCGTAGAGATTGAGGCAAGGGTGGAGTGCCAGCCGGGGTTCATGCAGGTCATGGTGCGCCCGCTTCCAGCACCAGCGCACCCCCTCGCTGAGACACCCTAAACCCTAAACCCTAAATACGTAGAGGCTACGTCTTAACCAGGGCATTTGTTAGTATAGTCCCTCTAAAAACTGCGATTTATAGGGCCTTCGAAGCTGCTCGTGGCAAGCAGGGGTTCATAGCTTCTATTTAGTAGGGTTTAGGGGTTTAGGGTTGGATACCTTTTTGGGGTGAAGCGGAGTGCCTTCCACAATTGTTGAGTCAGTTAATCTTTTGAGAGTTTCCGTGGACGTGCATTCGAGGGAATTTTTTGAGGTCTTCATATTCATAATGAGGGTGATCGTGATTTTTGGGGTGTATGTTGGCATCCCCTTTTTCCTCCTCTTATAGACAATTTTTTGGACTATTGCAGGGTGGACAGTCCACCTGACCCATCATTCAAGATGTTTTTTGCATTGCTGCCGCTCTCACAGATAGGACGACGGCAGCAGTGATTCCTTATTTGCCCAAGGTGGCTACCAACAGTCATGGCTTTTCTGGCATTTTCATCCCTCGCTTATGTGTTTGTTGCAACCGCTCCGTGTAGGAAGGGGTGCAATCTTGAGGTAGCTGTGATCAGGGTCCAGACTAGTAAAACCTAACGCGGTTCAGCAACGTGGGAGTTCCTGAAGCTGATGCTTCAGAATCCCAATTAGGAACCCATAAGCCGCTTGCCGCATTTACCTTCAGGCTCCCAGAGTGCCCCTGTCGATCCACTCTGCACATGCCTTTCGAGTCCCACTGTGCCCGGGTCTTGAGAAAATCTTATGTGGTGGGCTTTTTTGAATCCGAGATATATCACGGTCCCAATACGAACACCCTCCATCCTAAACTTTAAGGGGCTTCGCCCTTGTGCGCCAGCGCAGCATTTTCTGGGCTTGCCCCCGAAGGTAGGCTCAAGTAAATTGAATGTGCGGCCAATCAACTTAAAGTGCTTTTTGCTGGACTCCTTGGAAATGGCGTCGATTTTCGCCTTTTCGAGGATTTTTTCTGATTTCTTGTAAGCGTTGTTAAACTTTTGGAAGCTATTTTGGGCCTCCATTTGGGCCTTTTGGAAGCAAGTTCGAGCAACTGGAAGCCATCGGCCTTTTGGAAGCGGTTTTGAAACCGTTTGTGTCTTTTGGAAGCTGTTATCGGCCTCTTGCAAACCATTTCGGCCTTCTGGGGGCCGGAAGCATTTTTGGCTTTTCAAAACATGAAACGCTTTGCAAAATGAAATTGCATCTGAAAGATTCGAACTTAGGGCAGCCTCCTTTAAAGAGGGAGTTGACCTGGGTGCCGAGCTGCACTGGCGAACCCCAAACCCTAAACCCTCAACCCTGCACCCTACCCTGCACCCTAAACCCTAAACCCTCAACCCTAAACCCTCAACCCTAAACCCTAAAGCCTCAACCCTAAGCCCTCAACCCTAAAACCGGCACCCTAAACCTGAAGCCTCTTCCCAAGCTCGCACAGGTTCCAACGGAGGATGGCCCCTGCCAAGGCGAGCTTTGGGTTGTCTTAGGGATTCGGGCTTCGGGTTTAATGATTAGGGTTTGGGGTTTAGGGAGTTAGGGCTTAGGGTTTAGGGATTACGGTTTGGGGTTTAGGGATTTAGGAATTAGGGTTAAGGGTTTAGGGTTTAGGATTTAGGGTTAGGAATGGAAAAGAAAGAAGTGGAAGCCGCCATTTTTTCAGGAGGGTCTAAGGGATTTGGGGTTGGAAGGTCAGGGGTACTCGGTAAGTAGGCTAGTACTGAGGATAGCTGGGGTTACTGCATGAGCCATAGTCCAAACTGCTATTCAAGGCGGTTATATAAACGAGGATATAGGGGAGGATTACAGGCTCAAAGGGCTCTTAAAGGTGGTTATATAGGCAGTATTGCAGCGGCCATCAAGGGGGACACTAGGAGTTTAGACTATAGTTCATATGGGTGGTTGTCCAAATAATGGTCCCTTTTTTTGGTACCCTAAATATTAGGTGCCGCATTCTTATTGTTTTTTTTTCAAAAGGGGTTTTAATTTTGACAACCACCCGAATGGCTATATGATACTTTCCTCTGAGCATGAGGGTTCATTAGAGCAGCGTCTTGGCATGTGACAGGATCCTAAGTTGGGAGGCAGGGGTGACCAAAATCCTCTTATTAAAGGCAAGTTTAATTGTAGGGGATAGGAGTTTCCGGTGTTCGTCTGGGGTCATTGTATGGCTTAGAAAGTCTGTGTTTGAAGCCCACTCAGGCACATACAATGACAATTTTTAAAATCAGACCACGAGGCAACCAGTTATAGGCAGTGCGAAGACTCCACGTTTTGCAGCCACGGTTGCTCCTCGCTTGAAAAGGTCCCATCATGGGTCATCCCTAAATCCTAAACCCTGCACCAAGAGTTACGGACGCCTCAGCTAGACTTTTTCGATGCGTATGTTTTTGTTCATCTTGTGGTGCAGGCGCCGGGCAGAATCCTTGACAGAATTTCATGCAAGCGCTAGGCCGCGACCTGTGAACCAGACATCCTTATTAATCCAAACCTGAGCTCCTCCCATAAACCCTAGGGTACACAGGGGTTGTAGGGGTTACATGCGGGTTATATGGGGACATATTGGGATAATGGAAATGAGAATGGAAACTACTATTTAGGGTTTAGGGTTTGCCTAATTTCTAGGCAATATGAGCAGGCAACTTCCAAGGTCAAACCTAGATCTTCATCACGCCAGAAAAAAAGAACACATGACATCCCACCCCGCTGCCCACAAACCCTCAATGTTTATTCTACTCCCACTGCTCAACCAGTCAGGTAGCTCTCCAGACCCCCCAGCTATACTCCCCTTCTAAGAAACCTTCTTAGGAGGTGTGCCCTAGTCTAGGCCACTAGGAACTCAAGCGCCAGTAATATGAGGCATGGTTCACATCTCCGAAGTCCGGGAGGCGTCAATGAAATCTATTTTTGGTGGTACCTTTCTACAACTTCAGCACGTCAAGACTTTTGGGGTTTATCCTTTGACATCCAGGGAGTTAAAAATTTGCAGGTTTTCTGTTGGGTTCAAAAGTATTCAAGAGCGACCAAGGTTTGTTGCCCTACCGCCACCTCTTCAGGGATGTCTGACGCTCTCGAGGTCAGATATTTGATAAAGAAGGCAGCATATATTCTAAGGGAGGCAGGGTTGAACACGCTTTGAGTTTCATTGGTGGCTAGCTATCCGTAACGCTAAGCCCTAGACCCTAAACCCTAAATCCACTGCCTTAATGAAGGGAACAGCCCCTTAAGCAAAACTAAAGAGATGATGAACTGAAATGTATACCGCGCCAAGCCTATTGTGTTGTTTTTGTTCGTGGGGTGAATTTTCTCCAGTTGCCAAACTTCGGTGCAAAGGCACGTTGCTTACCTGTCTGAATGGCAGAGTGACCATCAGAAAGGCAAAGATGACGTTTACCCTTCTTGGTCGCGGTTGTCATGGTAGTACCAGCATGACGCCGCTGCTGCTGCTGCTGCTGCTGCTGCTGCTGCAGATGCGGCCGTTTGCATGTGACAGCTACCTGTGTGTAGGCCAGGCATTCAGAACGATGCTTAAGGGATATCCAAGCATTTTGTAGCTCCAGATCCAGCATGGAATTCTGGAGAGTCTATCTTGGCCTAGGCCTCCACCCACTACTAGTGACCCAAACATATCTACCAGGGATGCATTCCCAAATTCCCCGCAAGTTCTTCATTCCGTAAGCCCTAACCCCAGAAGGAGCACACAGCGGCGGTTTGCGTTTAGGGTCTCAACTTTCCCAACATCAGAGCCCTTGTCTACCCAATGTCCCAAAAAGACCAGCAGGAATTTCCCACAATGGGGTCCCTGGTTGATATCCAAGACATTTCTTCCCCAAATGGACCATAATTTAAACTCCTTAGGGTTATATAGGGGATTATATAGGGGAATATTAGAGGGCTTATTAAGGGGAATACTAGGAGTTTAGACTAAAACCCCTACAATCCACTACAGAACCCTATATATAGCAGTTTCCATTTCATTTTCCATTTTCTTTTCCATGTGATTCTCCATTATTAAGGGGGATACTAGGAGTTTAGACTATGGCTCAAAACCC